TCGTCACTTCGCTCTCTTTTGAATAAAGAGGGGACCTGTGTACTGCCGTTCACTGAGAGTTTGTATACTCTCGGAAGATAACTTCCTCTAGCGCAAGGTGCTGTGTGACCCCGTCACACTTGGTAGCACTAGTAGTCAATCCACGCCACCGCGGGTAGACTACCTGAACCTCTCCGAAGCTCGTTGCCATGGATAGGAACGACTTCTCCCATATAAACGACTCTCAGTTCGAGTCGGTTCGGAAGATGGCAGCATCTTCGGGATGGAGGCCCTGCAGGGCCAGGTGGTGTCAGCACCGGCTGAGCAGCTCGAGCGCGTCAATGCGTTCGACGCGTACGAGCAGGGCCTCATCACGCATGTGCGGGAGAACCTGCAGGCTCCGGCGGCGGAAGCAAATCCGCCTCAACCGAAGCCAATACGGCTGAAGGTTAAGCCATATGAAGGGAAGGAAGGCGAGAACCTTCACTTCTGGGTCCGAGAAGTAGAGCTCGCGATGGACGCGGCTCTGATCAAGACCGAGCAACTTCGTGTTGCTTTTGCACTCTCCAACCTTAGCGGCCGTGCTAAGAGCTGGGTGTACACACGGGAAGCAACATCCCCTGGATGTTTCACATCCTGGGCTCAGCTGTGTGAACAGCTTTGAGCCGCGTTCCTCCCGGCGAACTACGAGTACCGCCAACGTTCGCGCTTCCTCTCGTGTAAACAAAGGAGGCGCGAACTGCACGAGTATGTGCAAGAGATACGGGAGCTCACGGCGTCCCTAGTGGGGAACCTACTCAACGAACACATCAAGATGACTGTGTTCATGGACGGCCTTCGAGTGGGCCCCGCACGCACTCAGCTGTTCCGGGTGCAGTCAAGCACTCTTGAAGAGGCGATTCAAGTGGCTCTTCAAGAAGAGTACAGCCATCGCCAGGCGCGTACGCCGGCCTCAGCATGGTCTGGGAGTTCCTTGTCGGCTCCCGGTCGAGCAAGCCCCAACGGGACCAGTTCCCATGGAGCTCGGGTCCGCCGAACAGCGTGACATCCGCTGCATCAAAACCAAAAACACGTAAAAGTAAATATTTGCAGTTTCAGCACTAAAATGTACAAGTACGCGCTCTTGCCTATTGTGCTTGATCGCACTGGTTGCAGAATGTGTCAGTAAAAGTGAAGAATAGCGGATGCTGTTGTCATGTCGAAAGCTGCGAGTAAGGGGCTGCAGTTTCATGCCGAGGAATGTCCCGGGCCAAGTGCGCTACGTTGCTTACGTGTTCGGCTGTGTGATACTGTACATGTAGCTCCTCACAATGGAGTCAAATCGCGAAGAAGAAGAGACGGTCGCCTATTCAGCAGCGCCGAACGAGCTTGGCTGCTGCATTTTCAGGACGAAAGAAATCCCTGGAAAATGTATAACCGTCCAGTAAGTAGTAACGCATCGGTCACCTTGGCTGGGCCATTGGACATGATCCCAGCACTCATCCACTACAGCAAAAGAAAACTTCCTGGGCTCGATGGTCTGTAAGAAAACTCTCGGGCGACTAGCTCAACACAAATCTTTGAGAAACAACCACAAACGTTTCTCTCAAACAACTTGTGAAGCTTAGAAAGTGACAGCAGCGCATGAATCTGCGAACATGCTCAGACGTTTTGAGCCTGACGCTGGGGAAGATGTCAGATTCGCAACTGCGAGTATGGTCAAGCGATTAGTTAGTATCAGTAGTGCATTTCGGGGGCCGTTGCACGTGAAGGGGCACGCAGTTTCGGCAAGTCGGGGGACTCGACGATTCATTATCGCTCAGCACGGGGCCACAAACTTGATTTCCAAGTTGTAAGGGCTCTAAAACGGATGCAACCGACGAACATCTCAAGAGCTGGCGTGGACGTTTCGAACCACACTAGCGCTGAAGATCATGGCAGCGTAGCGTCGAGCTGTGTGAGAGCTCGTGTCACGCGAGCCAGGTCCACTCTCATTTTCGAATTCGCCTGCATCTGCAAAGAGCGACTTACCAAGACTCCCAACCTACCTATACTCGGTCATCCAGCTACCTGTTTTCAGAGCAATCATGGTCAAGTTTAGCGTCTCCCTTCTTCTAGCTGCCTTAATGGCAGCCCCCGCTCTCGCTGGTTATTCCCCAGAATCTGGCGGATACACCCCAACAACCAGCGAGCCTACTACTGAGGATGGTGCAACTTGTGACCAGAATCCCGCGATGCCAGACACGTGCGACGGAAGCGACGGCTGGTACCCTGTGTCCGTGGTGGGCAAGGAGGGATACTTCTGTGCCCAGGGACCGATCTGTACCAGTGAAGTCGGAAACTGTCCTGGTGTGCACGGTGATCTTACCTTCGGATCCAGCTGCGTCAGCATTAGTGAAGGGGTCTACGGCTGTGTTCCCAACACCGAGTGCCCGACTACCGAGTCCACGCCTGTCCACGACGAATGTGAGGTTAGCACTGATACCCCGACGACAGCGCCTCCGTCCTCCTCTGAGACAGTCACCTGGCCTCCCGTTGTTCAGACGACCGAGCCACCCGTGAAAACTGCCCCACCCTCCGAGACGGTCACCTGGCCTCCCGTTGTTCAGACTACCGAGCCACCTGTGAAAACTGCTCCGCCTTCCGAGACGGTCACCTGGCCCCCCGTAGTTCAGACTACCGAGCCACCCGTGAAAACCGCTCCGCCTTCCGAGACCGTCACCTGGCCTCCCGTTGTTCAGACGACAGCGCCCCCATCCTCCTCCGAGACGGTCACCTGGCCCCCTGTAGTTCAGACTACCGAGCCACCTGTCAAAACTGCCCCTCCCTCTGAGACTGTTACATGGCCTCCCGTTGTTCAGACTACCGAACCACCCGTGAAAACCGCTCCGCCTTCCGAGACCGTCACCTGGCCTCCCGTTGTTCAGACTACCGAGCCTCCCGTGAAAACTGCTCCGCCTTCCGAGACCGTCACCTGGCCTCCCGTTGTTCAGACGACAGCGCCTCCATCTTCCTCCGAGACGGTCACCTGGCCCCCTGTAGTTCAGACTACCGAGCCACCTGTCAAAACTGCCCCTCCCTCTGAGACTGTTACATGGCCTCCCGTTGTTCAGACTACCGAACCACCCGTGAAAACCGCTCCGCCTTCCGAGACCGTCACCTGGCCTCCCGTTGTTCAGACTACCGAGCCTCCCGTGAAAACTGCTCCGCCTTCCGAGACCGTCACCTGGCCTCCCGTTGTTCAGACGACAGCGCCTCCATCTTCCTCCGAGACGGTCACCTGGCCCCCGGTAGTTCAGACTACCGAGCCACCTGGCAAAACTGCCCCACCCTCCGAGGGGGCCACGTGGCCTCCTGGGGTTCAGACTATCGAGGCACCCGTGACGGGCACTCCCGAGACGACAACAGCGCCTCCATCATCCTCCGAGACGGATCACGTGGCGTCGCGTTGTTCAGACCGACTTAAGCAACCCGTGAAAAACGGCCCGA